TCTCATAGCTTAGATCAGCAAATAAGAGTTACTGGATTCAGTGTTTGAGATGATACAGGCATTCATAGTTTATCTAGCTATATTGTTAATATAGTGGTGTTTTAGTGTTACAGAAATGGAAATACAAAGCAAAGCAAATAAAACAGAGATAATCAATGTACCATACTGCATTTGTGTCAATGGTTACAGAAGATGGTATTATCAGAGAGTATAACATATTGCATATTATCTCTCTAACAGGCAAGGTTTAGTATATCAACATAATTCAGATTTCTTTATAGGAAAAGAATTAAGAAACATCCTCAGGTTTGTTGAAATTAGGAAAGTGTGTTAGTATTCAATTTGTTAACTAAAACAATACTGTATTAATGCCAATAATATAATCTATACTTAAATTAATAATTTATACCCTGGCTAGGTAGCTAATTTGGTTAGAGTATTGTCCCAATATGCCAAGGTTTTGGGTTAGATCCCTAGTCAGGGCACAGAAAAGAGTCAACCAATGATTGTATAAATAAGTGGAACAACAAATCTCTCTCTCTCTCTCTCTCTCTCTTCTATCTCTCTATCCCAAAATCAATAAACAAACATATTTAAAAGAGTAGATCCTAGAAGTTCTCATCAAAAGGAAAAAAGAGCCCTGGCCAGTTTGGCTCAGCGGTTAGAGCGTCGGCCTGCGGTCCCGAGAGACCCGGGTTCGGTTCCCGCTAAGGGCACGTACTTCGGTTGCAGTTTGTCCCCGGCCCTGGTTGGTCGTGCGGGTGGCAGCCACTCGATGTGTCCCTTCACGTCGATGTTTCTCTCTCTCTCTTCCTTCCTCTCTCTCCCTCCCACTCTGTCTGTGCAAAAAATGGAAAAGTGTCCTCAGGTGAGGATTAAAAAAAAAAAGGAAAAAAGATTTTTAAATAGATAAAATAAAATAATAATTTACAACATAAGATATTTTGGAAGTAAATAGAGGGTTCCAAAACCGCTGAAACTATCTCTGAAAAAAAATGCATTCTTTAAAATTTTACCTTTCATCGTTTTTTCAAATCACAACACTTGCCAACTGTGTTAGAATGAATTCATATATTAAATAATTAAATAATGTTTGGCTAAGGTTCTCAACCTGTGGGTCGCGACTCCTTTGGGGGTCTAGCGACCCTTTCATAGGGGTCGCCTAAGACATAACAGTAGCAAAATGACAGTTATGAAGTAGCAATGAAAATAATTTTATGGTTGGGGGTTACCACGACATGAGGAACTGTATTAAAGGGTCGTGGCATTAGAAAGGTTGAGAACCACTGGCTAAGTACTTGATTTGGAGAACTGAAATAAACCAGACATATTCCTGTTAACATTTACAATAATGATGTAATATAGTCAAAAGAGGAAATTTATAAACTTTTCTCTTTTTGACATGTCATGAAATTTATTTATTTATTTATTTATTTATTTATTTATTTATTTATTTATTTTTGGTATCTGCCCCTAGCGGGAACCGAACCCAGGACTCTCTGGTCTGTAGGCCAATGCTCCAACTGCTGAGCCAAACTGGCCAGGGAGAATGTTATTTTAATTAACCCTGGCCAGGAAGCTCTGTTGGTTAGAGTGTCATCGGGACACACCAAGGTTATGGGTTTGATCTCTGGTCAGGGCACATACAAGAAACAACCAATGATTGTATAAATAAGTGGAACAACAAATCGATGTTTTCTTTTCTCTCTCTCTCTCCTTTCATCACTCTCTCTAAAAATCAATACAATTTTTTAAAATACTTTAAAAAAATAACTAAATAAAAGAATGTTGTAATTAAAGGATTGAATTAAAATGTTATATAAATAAATTTTTAATCCTGGAGTGGTGGAACTCAAAAGACTTAAAAGATTAATAAAGTTACATAAAATTTAAAAATACATACATAAAATACCACATTGTCAAAGAAAAAAAGTTGAACTGAAAAAAATCTTGCAAAATAAAGTAATCATTTCTTAATATGAGTAAAAACATGAAATTTAACTTACCCAAAAGCATGTAAATGAAAATAAGCATACAGAAAGATGCCAAACTAAGATTGCATATTTATAAACTTTATAATAATAACTTTATTGCCTGGTTGGTGTGGCTCAGTGGACTGAGTGTCGTTCCACAGACTGAGAGGTCCTGGTTCGATTCCCAGTCAAGGCACATGCCCGGGTTGTGGCCTCGATCCCAGTAGGGGGTGTACAGGAGGCAGCCAATCCGTGTTTCTCTGTCTCATCAATGTTTCTATCTTTCCTTCCCTCTCTCTCTAAAAAAAAAATCAATAAAAACATATTTTAAAATGCATTTATACATGCATAAAAAGTGATTGCGAGACATACCTCAGTTTTAATCACCATTACTTCTGAGGATAAAAGTGAAACAGAAACTGGTAGGAGTGATTTTTATTTTATATAACATTTATATAATTTTTTTTCTCTGACCTTTCATGAGCATTAATTACCTTTATAATACAAAACATATTAAGGTAGAAAAACACCTATTAAAACACATGAAGCACATTAGGGATATAAGCAACATTACTAAAAGAAAAAGTGTTTGTATTAGTTTAACAAATTAATTACTGAAGTAACGGATAACTTTTTAAACCCAAGATCCATACATGGCTTTAAAGTTTCCAAAATATTTTGTATGGCACCTGCATATAAATAGCTTCAAAATCATGCAGTCCATAAAAGCTCTTCTTTCTTCTGCCCAGAATTCCCCTCCCTCTAATCTCTGAATGTTTAAATCCTCCTCATTCTTCAAGTCATCATTCAACTATCAGCTTAGGTTCAGACATAATTATCACTTATTGATTGCCAATTCTGGACCTAGGTAGCATTACTCTATGTGCTTCCACATGTTTTATTTCTCTTCATTGTTTAAAATCTTCACAATATGCCCGGCCAGTGTGACACAGTGGTTGAGCACTGACTGAGCACTGACCCATGCACCAAGAGGTCACTGGTTTGATTCCTGGTCAGAGCATATGTCCGGTTTACAGGCTCAATCCCCAGTAGGGGGCGAGCAGGAGGCAGTTGATCAATGATTCTCTCTCACATCGATGTTTCTTCCTCTCTCTAAAAATCAATAAAAATATATTTTAAAAAATTTTTTACAATAATCCTGTGACATAAAAGACAGACTTTCTCATTTACACATGAAAAATGGGCCTTAGCAGTTATGAAGCATAGTTAGTATCATATGTGTCATGGTAAGTGGTGGAGGTGAGAGAGGAAAGCAGGTTTCTTGAGTTCAATTCCAGATTCATTGTGCTTGACTCTTCCAAGGACTTCTCCCTGATTTATCGAACAGAAGGTAATATTTTCCTCTTCTCTAGTCTACTGACACTTTGTCAGTGCATCTTAAGGAGCACATCAATTTCTGCTTTTATTTAAGTTTTTCATGTACAGCCTTGTGTCTCTGTATGATAAGGAGACCTAAATCTAACCGTTTCAATCCTTGGAAGGTATGAAAATCACCCATGAATTTTTTTCCAATTTTCTTTTATTGTGGTAAAACACATAAAATATATTATCTTAACCATTTTAAGCATACAATTTAGTGATATTAAATACATCCATAAGGTTGTGCACCTATCACTACCATCTGTCTCCATAAGTATTTTCATATTGTAAAACTGAAACTCTATACCTATTAAACATTAACTCCCATTCTCCCCTCTCCCCAGGACCACGCTCCTACTTTCTGTCTCTATCATTTTGACTAAGTATCTCATATAAGTGGAATTGTACAGTATTTGTTTTGTGACTGGCTTATTTTACTCAGCATGATATCCTCAAGGATATCCACATTGTAGCAATATGTCCGAAGTTTCTTCCTTTCTAAGGCTGAATAATATTCCATTATAATATTCCATTTTGCTTCTCCATTCATCCATTGAAGAACACTAAGAGTGCTTCCACATTTTTGCAACTGTGAGTAATTCTGCTATGAACATGGGTGTACCAATATCTCTATAAGACCCTTTTTTCTATTCTTTTGAGTATATACCCAGAAGTAGAATTGCTTAATCATATGATAATTCTATTTTTAATTTTTTGAGGAACTACCATAATATTTTCCACAGGAACTATACCATTTTACATTCCCACCAACAGTATACAGTATTCCAATTTCTCTACATCCTCACCAACATTTGTTACTTTCTGTCTCTCTTTTTTTAAGATAAGTGGAAGGGCCCTAGCCAGTTTGGCTCAGCAGTTAGAGCACCAGCCCATGGACCAATGAGTCTCGGGTTTGATTCCAGTCAAGGGCACATACATCATCCTGGACCCTGGTAGGGTCATGTGGGAGGCAACCAGTCAATGTGTCACCCTCACATGGATCTCTCTCTCTCTCTCTCTCTCTCTCTCTCCCCCTCCCACTCTATCTGAAGATAAATAGAAAATATCCTCTGGTGAGGATAAATAAATAAATTTAATTTAATTAAGTAAAATAGAGAGTGGAAAGGAGGGAGGGAGTGGGGGGGGAATGAGAGAGAAACATCCATGTGAGAGAGATACATGGATTGGTTGCCTCCCACACATGCCAGGACTGGGGCTAGGGACCCAGGTATGTGCCACCCAGGTATGTGCCCTTGATGGGAAATTGGACCTGCAACCCTAATGGTCAATGCTCTAACCGCTGAGCTACACGTGATGGGGCACTTTCTGTCCTTTTTATATTAGCCATTCTAATGGGTGTGAAGTGGTATCTCATTGTAGTTTTGAATTGCTTTTTGCTCAAGACAAGTGATGCTGAGCATCTCTTCATGTGCTTATTGGCCATTTGTATATCCTCTTTGGAGAAATGTCTTTTCATGTCCTTTGCCCATTTTTGAAAAGATTGTTTGTTTTTTTGTGGTCGAGTTTTAGGAGTTCTAAATATATCCTGGATATTAACCCCTTATCAGATATGTGATTTGCAAATATTTTCTCCCTATTTTTTAGGCATATAAAAATTTATTACTACTATGTTTTTACCATCAAAACTTATGATCTCAGTCTTTCCTTCTTGCCTTTGTATAAGGCCAAAAGAGAGACACTGGCTACTTTGACAACTTTATTTATTTATTTATTTATTTAATCCTCACTCGAGGACATTTTTCAATATTTTTGTTCAGATAGAGTGGGAGGGAGAGAGAAACATAGACGTGAAAGGGACACATCGGGTGGTTGCCACCTGCACAACCCAATCAGGGCCGGGGACAAACTGCAACCGAGGTACGTGCCCTTAGTAGGAACCGAACCCAGGTCTCTCTGGACCGCAGGCCGACGCTCTAACCACTGAGCAAAACCAGCCAGGGCTACTTTGACAACTTTAAAGTGAACTCCAGTATGACTTTTGCAACCAAATCCAGCAAGCAGAACTTCATCATTTTCCTCAATAAAATTTAAACAACCATCATTGGATATAAAGGCTGTGATTTTTCTGCCATTCTTGATCAGCTGGGCCCTGACATACTTCCTGATGGCAGAATTTGCCTGTTAGGCTTCAATCCCTACTTAAAAAAAAAATTTTTTTTTCTTAATCCTCATTAGAGGATATTCTTACACTAATCATCAGATAGAGAGGGAGGGAGGGAAAGAGAGGGAAAGAAACATCTGTGTGAGAGACACAGTAACTGGTTACCTCCCGCACAACCTGAGGATGAACCGCAATCAAGGTACATGCCCTTGACCAGAATCAAACCCTCGACTCTTTGGTCCAAGGGCGGACGCTCTAACCACTGAGCAAAACTGGCCAGGGCTCAACCCCTACTTTTTCCAGCACAGTTTTTCCCTTTGCATGGGAAGTGCCTCTAGAAGGTTTGGCCTGCATGGCTGTGCACAAATGAGCTTCCTTGTACTGTCTATCATGCCACTTCTGGTCTCATCAGTGACTTCGGAGCTCCATGGCAGCGTGAAGACCGAGACACTTGCCCATCCTGCTGGCGCCACAGGCCTGAGCTTATTTTCTCCCATTTTTTGGTTGCCTTTTTATTCTGTTGATACTGTCTTTTGATGTAGAAAATAATTTAATTTTTAAGAAGTTAATTTGCCTATTTTTCTTTTGTTGCCTGTGCTTTTGACATTGTATCCATGATCATTGCTACCTCCAATGTCATGAAGCTTTTTTATTTATTTATTTATTTTTATTAATCCTCACCAGGGGATATTTTTCCATTTATTTTTAGAGTAGAAGGGAGAAAGAGAGGTGGAGAGAGAGAGAGAGACAGAGAGAGAGAGAGAGAGAGAGAGAGAACACATCAATGTGAGAGACACACATCCATTGCTTATCTCCGCATGACCCCAACAGGTACGGGAATCAAACTTGCAACCCAGTTATGTGTCCTTGACCAGGGATGGAACCTGAGACCTCCTCAGTCGACAGGCTTATGCTATAACCACTGAGCAAACTGACCAAGGCTCATAAAGATTTTGCCCTATTTTCTTCTAAGAGTTTTACAGTTTTAGGTCTTACATTTAAGTCTTTGATCTATTTTGAGTTAATTTTTGAATGTGGTAATAAATAAGGATCCAGTCATTCTTTTGCATGGGGATATCCAGTTTTCCCAGCACCATTTCTGGCAAAGATTGTCCTTTCCCCATTGAATAGTCTTGGCACACTTGTCAAAAATCATTTGATCATAAATGCAAGAGTTTTCCTTGGCTTTCAATTCTATTTCATCAGTCTATATGACTGCCTTTATACCTGTGCCATACTGTTTTGTTTTAGTTTGTTTTTTATCCTCACCCGGGGACATTTTCCCATTTTTTGTGCAGATAGAGCAGGAGGGAGAGAGAGGAAGAGAGAGAGAGAGAAACATCAATGTGAAGGGACACATTGAGTGGCTGCCACCCGCACGACCAACCAGGGCCGGGGACAAACTGCAACCGAGGTACGTGCCCTTAGCTGGAACCGAACCCGGGTCTCTCTGTACCGCAGGCCGACGCTCCAACCGCTGAGCCAAACCGGCCAGGGCCATGCTGTTTTGATTACTGTAGCTTTGTAGTAAGTTTTGAAATCAGGAAGTATAAGTGCTCCAACTTTGTTCTTTTTCAAGAATCTATTGGCTAGTCGGTGTCCTTTATGATTCCATATGAATTTTAGGATGAGTTTTTCTTTTTCTGAGGAGAAAAAAAAATCATTGGAATTTTGATATAGATTGCATTGATGGCCCTAGCTGGGTAGCTCAATTGGTTAGAGTGTTGTCTTGATACACCAAGGTTGTAGGTTAGATCCCCAGTCAGGGCACATAGGAGAATCAACCAGTGAATGCATAAATAAGTGAAACAATGAATCAGTGTCCCTCTCTCTCCCAAGCAATTAAAAATAAATAAATAGATTACATTGAATTTGTAGATCACTTTGGATATTACTGACATCCTAACAATATTAAGTCTTCCAATTCATGAACATAGAATGTATTTCCATTTATTTATATCTTCTTTAATTTTGTCCAGCAATGGTTTACAGTTTTTATTGTAGTCTTTCACAGTTAATTCCTAAGTATTTTATTTTTTTATACTATTATACATGCAATTATTTTCATAATATCCTTTTCAGTCTGTTTATTGTTAGTGTGTAGAAATGCAACTGGTTTGTGGTTTGATTTTTTATCCTGCTACTTTGCTGAATTTACTTATTAGTTCTAATAGTTCTGTTTGTGGAATCTTTAGGATTTTCTATGTACTAGATTATACTATTTGTGATGAGGTTCAAGACATGCTACGCCAAAATATGACACTGTGGTATATTGAATATTTTAAGCTAAAGAGTTTAAGAAAATGTCAGGAGCTAGAGATCATTCTTATTTTGCCCCCACACCCTTCTCTCTTGAAACAGATCATAAAACTCATGTGAAAGATGCCTTCCTTATACCCTAAGGAAAGGAGCACACTTTTGTCCAAATAAGGACAAAGTGATGCCAAGAAGAATCCAAACAAACAGGCCTTTCTGAATTTCCCTCAGTTTACTACACCTTACCTATCATATTTCTTCACAACTGTCCACTCTTCATCAAACCCGCCATAAAAATACTCAGGTTTAACTGTTTCTTTGCATCTTCATTTCCTTATGAAAGATCTGATGTTAGGTGAAATTTAAATAAATGTGTGTGCTTTTCTCCTGTTAATCTGCTTGTGTCCATTTAATTTTTAGATGCAGCCAGGGACTCTAAGGAGGTGGAGGGAAATCTTTTCCTCCCCTAATTTGTTAGATAATTTTACTTCTTCCTCTCCAAGTTGGATTTCTTTTATTTCTTTTTCTTGCCTGTTTGCTCTGGCTAGAACTTCCGGTGCTATGTGAAATGAAAGAGGCAAAAGTGGGCATTCTTGACTTCTTCCTGATCTTAGGAGAAACACTTTCAGTCTTTCACCACTGAATATGATATTCACTGTTTTCTCATATATGGCTTTTATTAGGTTGAGGTAGTTTCCTTCTATTCCTAGTTTGTTGAGTTTGTTTGTTGTTGTTGTTGTTTTAATTGTCATACAGAGTGTTAAATTTTATCAAATGCTTTTTCTGCATCAATTGAGATTAATTTTGTGTCTTTCGGGGGTGGGGTGGGGTGGGGATGTTGAACCATCATTGCATTCCAGAAACAAATTCTACTGGTCATGGTGTATAACACTTTTAATATGCTACTGAATTTAGTTTGCTAAAATTTCTTTGAGGATTTTTGCATCCATGTTCATAAGGGATGATGGTGTGTAATTTTATTTTCTTGTAGTGTCTTTGTCCCACTTTGGTACCTACATACCTGTGAACTTTGAAAAAATGTTCAATTTAAAAATGTTCATGCCATAGATCAATAGAATAAGAATTTCTGCCATAGCTTCCTGGTTATCTGCATAGTCAAAACCTTGCATAGGTCATTCTGATGCACACCGAGAGTTCAGGACTGCTGGGTTCATCTACACCTTTAAATTTGCATAGTGCCTTGTGAAAAGCAGAAGCCTAATAAATATTTGTTAAACTATTCATAATCATTCATGATTTTTGTAAATCTAAAGGTAGAATAAGAGTGACCTCTACAGAAAGAAAGTCCAAGTGATTGGGTGGTAGAGACACTGCAGGTCAGGTGGCATAAGCCCCAAGGAGATGGCGGACTATTCGAGTAACAGGTGAAACAATTGGGACACAAAGATGTGCTCAAGCCCACCTGAGATTTAACAAAAAGCTATAAGGAATGAAGAGAACAGGCTTATTAGATCATTCCCTCAGGCTACATACCGACCTTTTATGATGGCTCTGCTCTTTCCTCTCCTTTGAAAGGCACCCTTATTTTGCCAGACCACACTTGAATAAAAATGTTTATGCTATATTGGAAGAATAAAGAGTTTGCCTTGGCTCTCCCAAATCCCTTTAACTTGTAAAATAGTCAGAGAAGACTGGATCATGCTGGCAATGCTTTGCAAAAGGATGAATTTATCTAAAATGGGGAAGGGACTTCAGAGGACCACAGCAGGAATGTGGTTGGACAGGACTGGTGACATACACACCATAAAATATGGTGTTTCTTACTGGAGGAAGTGCCTTTTAAGGGAGCCCGTTTTTGTTAATATCTTTGCATATTCGCCTGATACTTTTACAATAACAACAACAAATTTCTGTGTGTGTATATGTATGTGTATGATTAGCTGATGCCTCACTTTTCTCAATCAGTTATTTATATTAATTATCAGCATAAGAATTTAGAAATCTTGTAATTTGATATAATTAGATTCAGCCTGAAATGAACCGCTTTTATCACATAGGGATGATAGAGTTGACCCAAAGTTAGTAGAGTATATACTTGAGTGGTTTTTCCTTGCATTTACAATAATAATTATTAATAAATATTTTATGCATGTAATCTGCTATGTGATAAGGATACACAATGTTATAAAATGTACATCCTTACTCTCAGTGGGCTTCCAGCCCCATGAGGGAAACATAACAGTTACATAAAAAGTAAATACCCAAACACTCAAAATAAATTAAGATGAGGTCTATATTAAGTGAAATATACTCACCAGTATTGCTTTATGAGTTCAGATGATCTATGCCCTTGAGAAGCCTATGAGAAAACCAGATAAATAAGTAGAAAATTTCAGTAAAGCATGATAAAGTAGGCAGGAGGTACTAAGGGAGCACAGAGTTGGATTATTTAGTAGCCTGATGTTCAGAGAAACCTGGGAGAAAATACTTTTTGAGTGGATCTGGAAGGATGGATATGAGGTTGACAGGTGCACAGATAAGGGCAGGGCTTTCAAGCTGCAGGGACAGCATAAGCACAAGCCCCGGGGTGGAGAAAAGTGTACCATGTTGAAGAAACATGCAGAATTATTACAGTGGCAAGTGCATGATTGAGATTTTGGGGGCATAAGTCTGGTCAGGTCATGGAAGCCTGTGAGCCATGTTAATAGAGAGCTTAGGCTTAGGCTGTATGTGGTAGGAATCATTAAAAGTATTTAAGCAGGAAAGTGACATGATTAAATTTATGTTTGTTTGTTTGTTTAACCCTCACCTGAGAATATTTTTTCATTGATTTTTAGATAGAGTGGAAAGGAGGGAGGGGGAGAGAAAGGGAAACATCATTGTGAGAGACGCATTGATTGGTTGCCCCCACACTACCCCAACTGGAGCGGGGGAATCAAACCTGCAACCCAGGTACATGCCCTTAACTGGGAATCAAACCCACTGCCCTTTGGCCTGTGGGTCAATGCTCTAACCACTGGGCCACACCGGCCAGGCAAATTCATGTTTCTAAGTATCTAATTCTAGGTGCAGTGTGGAGGATGGATAAAAAGGAAGCAAGGCTGGAGGCAGGCTGATCACTTAATATTATAATATTTATAGTTTAGGCAAAATATCATTAAGGGTCATAACTGGATAAGAATGAACAGAAGAGGACAGATTTGGGAGATTTCCAGGAGAGAAAAAAACAAGTGTTTGGTTAT